GGGGGGGGGGGGGGGGGCTTTCCCAGACTCAACCCATCGCCCCTAACCAATGCCTCTGCAGAATGGAGTTCCCCCTTCTGACCCACGATGCATCTTCCCTGCCCTCAGATTGAGCACGACCCTCGGATGCCAGCCTACATAGCCACCCAGGGCCCACTGTCCCACACCATTGCAGACTTCTGGCAGGTGGGCTCTTGGAGGGAGGGACTAGCGGCTCTCATGGCCAAGCAGAGCCACCAGGCCCCGAGAAGCTAGGGTGGCACTTACCTGGGCCTCTGCCCCAGATGGTCTGGGAGAGTGGCTGCACCGTCATCGTCATGCTGACCCCGCTGGTGGAGGACGGCGTCAAGCAGTGTGACCGCTACTGGCCGGATGAGGGCTCCTCCCTCTACCACGTGTATGAGGTCAGCAGGACGGGAGGGAGGGAGGGAAGGAGGAAGGTGGCGTCCTCCTGTATGTAGGCATGTATATGCATATACACATATCTGTTCACATACATATCTACATATGCATGTGTGTGGATGTCTTGTCTATGCCAAGAAGGAATTTTAGGAGCTTATCTGGAAAAAGAGTCCTTGGTGACCCAGTGCTTAAGCACTCTGCTGCTAAGTAAAAGGTGGGTGGGGTGGGAGATCCGTTTGAAGCCCCCAGCAGCTCTAGGGGAGAACGTTGTGGCAGTCTGTTTCCCAACAGTCTTGGAAACCCGCTGGGGCACTTCTGCTCTGCCCTGTAAGGTAACTCTCTTTGGAACCCATCCTACGGAAATGGGTTTGGTGTTTGGTTTACGAGAAACTGCAAAATGCAAGCTGTAGATGCAGCCACGCAGACATAAGAAGCCAAGAGCCAAGGAGAAACGAGGCAGGGAAGCTAAAGCCCCAGACCCAGGTCAGACCTGATCCGTTTAAGCTGAAGTTGGCTTGGAGTGTCCTGGGGAGTAAGGAGAGCAAAGAAATATCACCAGTCACACACCCTGCTTATGGGAACTAGATGAGGCATCTGCATTTGAAAGCAGCTGGGCACAGGGCAGCTGGGCAGTGCTGGGGAGGGAGGAATAGATTCTGGGCAGATGGGAGCAGGTGACCCCTTTAAGACAGGCGGTGTGAAGAAAAACTTCTCGTCGTTGCTAGATGAGCCCTGGAGAGTTTTCCCTGGGGGTGCAAGGGTTAAGCGCTTGGTTGCTGACTGAAAGGTTGGAGGATAAACCCACCAGCCACTCCAGGGGAGGCAGATGTGGCTGGCTGTGATTGCCAAGATTGCATTGTTAGGAAAGGCTGTCACAAAGCGTCAGGGAAGGTCCAGCCTGCCATCTGGCCTACTGATTTTGGGTGTTAAGGGAACAGAAATTTCCAGCCGGACACCTGACCTAAGGATTGTTAGACTGACCAGGCCCTGCCACTGCCTAACTCCAGTCCTTCCACAGAACTATGTTAAAGTAAAGCAGCCTCGGGCTAACTGCCATCGAATGGATTCCAACTCCCGGTGCCCCTGGGTGGAGTTTCCAAGACTTTAAAGCTCCTCTCTCTCCCACCAAGCTGCTTGTGGGTTTGAACTGCTGACCTTTCAGTTAGCAATGCCAAGCCTACCCACAACACCAGGACGCCCTCTGGGGCAGTTCCTCTCTGGCCCGCACCGGGAGTCGGGATCTGTCTGATGACAGCAGCTGTGCGTGAGCACTCAGTAGTCACGTTTGGATTCAGCTGGTTTGGGGCTGGTTTGGCACTGATGGGCCCTGCCCATGGTTAGAAGGGGGGCAATCGAATTTCATCAGAATCTCATCAGTTTATGACCCAGCCCCACAAAAAAAAAAAAGTACTGCCATCGAGTCGATTCCAACTCAGAGTGATCCTATAGGACAGAGGGGAAATGCCCTGTGGGTGTGGGAAGCTATCACTTTAAGGAAAAGCCTCACATTCCTTCCAGAGTGCCTGGTGGTTTCAAACTGCTGACCTTGCAGTTAAGAGCCGCGTGCATAACTACTGTGCCACCAGCGCTCCAGGAAGCTCACAGTCGTGGTTGTGCCTGGCTGGAAAGGCCGCCAGTCGCCCCCCGCAGTAGACACGTGACACAGACAGCTGGGATTCCAGGGCCCCCTGAGAGAGTTGGGTAGATGGGTGGAGAAGTTTTCTGGAGAGTTCGGAATGTGAACTGGAAGGATCTGGAGAGAGGCAGAAGGTCGTTCCGGACTAGACGTGGAGGTTGGAGAGCGGCAAGGCCCTAGCAGGCCCAGGGCTGCGGCGCTGAGACCTGGACCACCTCCTCCTCTCCAGGTGAACCTGGTATCGGAACACATCTGGTGTGAGGACTTCCTAGTGCGGAGCTTCTACCTGAAGAACGTGCAGACCCAGGAAACGCGCACGCTCACGCAGTTCCACTTCCTCAGCTGGCCGGCAGAGGGCACTCCGGCCTCCACGCGGCCCCTGCTGGACTTCCGCAGGTGAGCTGCGGGGGGTCTGCGGGCGCTGGGAGCAGCCGGGAGGAGGGGCCTGGGAGCCTTGAATGCAAGCCCGGGCAGAGGGCTCCTCGGCTGGGCTGCGTAGGCTCGGCCTGCTTTCCAGAGTCTCCAAGGGGCTAGTCTCTGTTCCCCACGCTCGCCACCCCTCTCTTCCGCGCCACCCCGCGCCCGCTTCCTGGTAGCCTCTAGGAGCTACCTTCACGCTGTCGCTGTCTTCTTTGCCCCCTTCCCTCCATCACCCCCACCACCCCCCACGCCCCCGGAACGACCCTCTATAATTCTATCTCTCTCCTATACTTCCCAGTCCTCTTTGCTCTTAGGGTCTCCCAGGCTATTTTCTGCCCTTGTTTCATGCGTCTCCCTGTCCCTCTGCTTCTATTTCTCTCCCAATTCCCTTGCCATCTCCCCTTTCTCTCTGCAGCCCTCCAACCCCATCACTCTTACTCGGTCCACTCTCTATTTCCACTTCCCATCTCTGCACCTCACCAGCTGGTCTCTCTCCCGCTCCCTCGGGTCCCTACCTGCCCATTTTTGCCATGGTTTCTGCCTCACTGCCTCTCATCTCTGCCCTAGTTCTTCCCTGCACTTCTCTCCCTGCCATTCTTTCTTGCCCCTTCTCCCATCATCTGCCCCTTGCTCTCCTCTCCCCCTCCCTCCCCACCCCCAGCTGCCAGTGTCATTTTGGGCATCTGCAGCTCCAGTTGTATAGTCACAAAAGTGACCGTTACAGGTGTGGCTACTTCGTGAACAAGACAGACAGGCCCCGGGGGCTCAGGACAGGCCCACCCTGAAAGCTGCAGGAGTGGGGCTGGGATAGGAAGCTTAGAGAGGGGTTTACTTTGTTCTGACACCCAAACCAGGCCCAGGTCAGGCATCCTCTACCTGCTCCCTCCCCAGATAGGAACTGAGAAGCCCCTCACCCCCTGTCCCCCAGCTTACCAGACCTAGGATGGGGCCTGATAGTGGGGTCCTTGGGACCCGAAGCACAGCAACCAGGAGAACAGCGGCAGGGTCTTGAAGCTATTTTCTATTCTCCACATTTAAGATTTGGGGGTAGAACTACTACCTGGTCCTGCTTTAAGCCTGCACCAGTAAGCTAGGTTAGCTTTCCTTGTTTTATACTCAACTGCCACAGAGTAGATATCCAACTCATAGTGACCATAAAGTGCCCTGGTGGCATAGTGGGTTAGGTGTTGGATTCCTAATGGCAAGGTCAGAAGTTCAAAACCACCACTTGCTCCATGGGAGAAAGATGATTTTTTTTTTTTTACTCCCACAAAGATCTATAGCCTGGGAAACCCATAAGGCCCATTCTCCTCTGTCCTATACGGTCAGTATGGAGTTATGTAAGTCTAATGGATGTGATGCTAGCCACCAGAGAAAATAACTTATAGTTCAGGAGCCCTGGTGACATATTGGTTATATTTTGGGTTGCAATTCGCAAGGTCAGCAGTTTGACACCAGCAGCTGCTCCTCTGGAGAAAGATGGGGCTTTCTACTCCTGTAAGGAGTGACCGTCTCAGAAATGCCTAAGGCAGTTCCACCCTGTGCAATAGGGTCACTGTGAGTTGGCATCAACTGGATGGCAGTGAGTTTTACTAGTAGTTACAGCTGGGTGAAGAGCCACTGGAGGGCAGGGGAAATAAATTTTAAAGGAGGTCTTAGGTGATTCTGGCAAGTTCCTTGGCCTCTTGGTTTCCTTACTTGTGAGCTGAGGGTAAAGATGCTTGTGCTAGGGGGTTGTTGGAAATTTTAATAGGGTAAAGTATATGATATCTAGTTTATGTGATAAACACACAGTAAGGGTTTCATTGATTAATTCTAGCTATTATTTATCATCATTATAATTAAATGATTGGGGCCACTCCTGTGATTACTGTTCACTCACCCCGATGACACCATCAGTCAATCACTGTGGACTCCTAGACAGCCATCCAGAGTCACTGGCTCTGCAAGTGGCCTGCTAAGTTCCCAGCTTGCCCTGAAACAAGCTGGTGATCCCTAAGACACTCCTCCATAGTCCTGGACCAGAGAGGGTATTGGAGGTCAGCTGATGATTCTCAAAAAAAACATCATAAGGGACAAGGGCAGAGTAGCCCAGGCCACTGAAAGAGGAAGAAACTCCTGGCTACTCTGTGGTCAGGGGCAGCAAAGAAGAGTGCGAGGTCCAAGTAGACCCCAAGTCTGAACACCACAGAGCCACAGAGCACCTGGGCTAAAGTGGGCCCGAGCCGCGAGCTAGGCAGCAAGCAGTGCTCTGTTCCATTGGGGGAGGGGTATCTTGGCTTCCTGACATCATTGCTCTTTTGTCAGAGCAAACCGGCCTCTAACAACCACAGGGTTCGTAGGTGCAATTGTACGGCTAGCATATATAAAGATCATAGCAAAGTCATAAAAGATAAGCTAGAAGATAAAATAAAGGAGTCAGACACATTTCATAGTAGCACACTCACCTCAGCCCCCCTTGGTTCACGTGGAGGTGGGAGAAGAGAAAGGGAGCTTTTGCTGTCTTGGGATATTTATAGGTAGCCATAAGACATGCATATTCAGTAGCTGTATCCATCACAAGGTGGGTGGTAACCACAGTTAAGTCCCTGAACTCACAGGTGAGGAAACCTAATACCTGCACTGGGGGAAGGCATGAGGGGGAACAGGTGCCTGGCAGGAGGAGACAAAGAATGTCAGCTTCTACAGGGAGATAAAATCAACCATGTGCTCACTTTAAGGCGGCAGCATAGCTGTTAAGGGACAATCTGTGGGAATAAGCAGGATAATATACTTGGACTTTATATCTAACTTACCAAAGTGGTGCCTTTCCTGCTGTGGAACATTAGCTTTCCAGATTCCCTGTTTTAAGTTAGGGAATATAGTCCTGGTCCTATTTCCCTCAGCGTTAGTTTCCCATACTCCTTGAGTAAAAACCCCAGAAGCTTGGAAACCCCTTTTACAGATCAGGAAACTGAGGCCAAAAGAGCTTGCATGAGTTGTTCCACGCGTATAGCTTGGGTACAAGGCTCACAAGTAACCCAGGCAGGTCCAGTGGCACCGATGGCTCTTCGCCTTCATCGCCCTCCCCGTCCCTGTCTTGGGCAAGGAACGAAGGGGACAGAGAAGCGACTTGCCTCAGCTCACAGCAGGCAGCTGGGCCTACAGGTCCTCACTCTACTTCTTGTTGCAGGAAAGTGAACAAGTGCTACCGGGGCCGCTCCTGCCCCATCATCGTGCACTGCAGGTGCGTGCAGAGGGGCTGGGGGACCTGGTGGGGGATCAGAACCCACCCCTACCAAGGGCTGGCTGAGCCACCCCTCCCCCTGGGCGGGGCTCCTCTGCACCCTGTCTACCCCTCCCTTGGAGGCCGGTCAATCCGGGCACCACTTAGTTCCTTAACAGCCCCCAAACTGGAAAAGGTCTTCACATTTTTAAATGGTTAAAGAAGGAAAAATAAACCCAAAAATAAGACCCTCAAAGCCGGAAAGATTCCTTCTCTGGTCCATGTCACACACGTGTTGAGCAGAAGCCTGACCCCTTCGGTCTTGTCACCTCAGGCCTGTAGGGTTCTCCCTTGGGGTTTTCTCACTCCGGGCCCAGTCACTCGGTTCCGCTCACGCACATCCTCCCCAAGCCAGCCACTCACTTCCCCTCTGCCCGTTTCAGCGATGGCGCGGGCAGGACGGGCACCTACATCCTGGTCGACATGGTTCTGAACCGCATGGCCAAAGGTAAGCCCTTCCCAGGGGCCCGCAGCCCGAGGGCCAGGCCAGCTCATGGAAGGACCCCACCCCCTAAGCAGCTCTCGGCGCCGCCCCCGCCCCGCCCCCCAGGAGTGAAGGAGATTGACATCGCTGCCACCCTGGAGCATGTCCGCGACCAACGGCCTGGCCTCGTCCGCACCAAGGTGACCGTGCCCCCCTCCCAGCACCCACCTCTCGGCCAGCCCCGGGCCCCCATCTTCTTAGGCCTGCTGGGGGCTAGAGAAGAGGGCGTCCGCGGACCTCCTCCCACTGCCCCTCCCCAGGACCAGTTCGAGTTCGCCCTGACCGCCGTGGCGGAGGAGGTGAATGCCATCCTCAAGGCCCTGCCCCAGTGAGCCGCCCAGCCACCGCCTGCCCAGCCACCGCCTGCCGTGCCGTGCGTGTCCGCTGTGCTGTGTGCCCCTCTGATGCCTCCGCCCACCGCCTTGGCTCTCCTGGGTATGTCTGCGAGAAAGGGGAGGCAGAAGGGCTAGAGCCCCGGGTGCCCCAGGGCAGAGCTGGCAGCCTGCCTGCCGGAAGCTGAGCCAGGCCGAGGACTGTCATTCTCCGCAGAGCCCTTTCCCGCCTGAGTTCCCTGCTGCCATCGCCCATGCTCCTGGAGGTGCCCAGCACCCAGCACTAGTCTGTGAACGCCCCATCCCCATCCCCAGAGTGAGCCGGCAGGGTGGAGGGGACAGAGGGGGTGTCAGGCCTCAGCTCCTGGGTCCCCATGACCCAGTCTGCTTTGTGGCCGACCCCTTGCCTCCAGGCCCTTCATCCTGCCACTCATCCGCACTCTTGCCCTCTGGCACTAGGAACATTTCCAGAAAAAAATCTATTTTGTATCTATGTGAATAAAGTGACTGTTGTCTGTGCAGCTGCCAACCCAGCTCCTCCTCCACAGTTCCATCTGGTCTCCTCCTGGCTCCTAACCTGGAAGAGGCTGGGGGTCTGGCTTTCCCCATAGGGGCGGGGGTGGGGTGGGGGGTGGAGTGTGTGCCTGCGGCCTCCAGTGCCCTGTCTCCTAACCTGTGGAATCGTCACACCATCTCTACATGGCTTCTGTTATTAGTCTCATTTTACAGATGAAGAAACTGGCTCAGAAATGACAAGCCACACGCCAAGGGAGTGGGCCTAGATGTGGTGGGGCTGGCTAGGATTCCACCCTGACAGGCCCCAGGTCTTCATTCACCAGCCTCCTGCTCCCTGGGGCAGGGCTAAGGCTAGCACCCAGCAAGGTGATGCAGCCCCAGCCTCCCTGCTCCTCTTATCCAGCTGAGGACACACACACACACACACACACACACACACACACACACACACCACTGATGCCCTGTCACTAGTAGCCTCTGCGTACCATACACTGTAGGCCCAGCCTATGAGATGACAGTAGAGGGGTTTGTACCTCTGGGAGCAGAGGGCACTTTCTCCATGGCTCCCCCACCCTTGGTGCCCCGATGGGTGGCAGCAGCAGCCCTGGACAAATAGAGCACATGAAGCCAGGTGCCTGAGGCACCGAGTTAGCACCATTTGACCTTGTTGGGGGGCTCAGTCTCCTGGAATGAATTGCAAGGCGCAGGCCCCTCCTAATCTCACCTGGGGTCTGCGAAGACAACTCCCATTGCTCTCAGAAGCTGGAAGTGGGAAGAACGCCAATTTACAAACTTCTAGCAGATTCTGTCAAGATGGAGCTGTGAATTCCTCTTTCTCGAATACTTGAGGAGGACAGCCACATAAACCAGGGGCTTCCTGCAGTCCACGGGGGCGGGTACAGGGGTGGGCTGCACCTCTAGCTATCTGGGCCATCTGTGGAGGGAGGAGGATGGGCGTGTGATGAGGTCTGGGGGCGCAGGGGCCTCCGGGGTCACCCAGGGAAGGAGGATCACAGCGCCCCTAATGCTCTCAGAACTTAGCTTTATTGCATTTATACTGCGTCCTCCCTCGGTCTGCGCTCAGCCCGGGCTTCCATAGGTCTCTGAGCGTGCCCACAGGCTCCACGGCGCCCCTCCCTGGCCCCCGGCGGTGACGGAAAGAATGGACATTGGGGTCAGATGCCAGGGAAAGCCAGACATGCAGCCATATGCCGGGAGCTCCCACCACCAACCCCATGCCTGCCTACAGACCCCTCCTCGAGAAGGCCTCCCTGTGCAGCTCGGCCAGGCCCCCCGCCCCGGGTTCTGACGTGTCACTCTAGCTCAGGACTAGCCAGAGATGTCGCGGAAACCGAGATTCGCCAATCCATTACCCCTTCATCCACACGCTTGATCAGTCCTAGGACAAGACAGCCCCTTCTCATTCTCAGCCAATGACGGGCCGGCGCTCAGACTACATATCCCAGGACGCACAGCTCGGCAACACGCCCCGCCCACCTGCGGTATCGGACCTCGACTGTCACAGCGACCCTCTAGGGCCGAGTAGAACGGCCCTATGGGGTCTCCACGTTTGCCCATCTTTGCGGAAGCAGTCGGTTGCATCTTTATCCTGCAGAGCGGCTGGAGGGTCCGAACTGCTGACCTTTCGGTTAGCAGCCCAGAGCTTTCACCACTGTGCCACCAGGGGGCCTCCGCATTCCCCCAGCATGGTCTATCAGAAGTAAGGCAGGGTCGGTAGCATTCAGGGACTTGCAGTTCCCAAGAAACAGCACCAAACACCCAGGGAAGTTTACGGCTAAGACTACTGCTGCACGCCTTCCACCCGACCCACCCACCACCCAGGCCAGGCTCTAACTCCGAGGGAGAGGAATGGGGATCCCCTCCCAGCGCACGGGGGTGGGCGCTGTCCCGATGAAACTGCAGCGAGTGTGGGTCCCGGACATCCAGCTCAGAACACATCTGGGGAGAGAGTGGGGCGGGTGGCAGGGGATCAGCTGGAGCCAAGGGGGTTGAGGGTGGGGACAAGCATGCAGGCCTGCGGGGGTCAGCGGTCCCCTCCTTGGACCCCCTCCTGGGTCTTCTGGGCCCTAGCCCACCTCTGCCTCGTCCCAGGGCTTCCAGAAGAAGGGAGGAATTGACTCTGGTTCCAAATCTTTGACCAAGAGGTCCTTGTGCGCCCGCCCACCCCAGCCAGCTTCCCAGAAGACCCTCTGGGGCCTTCTCGAAGTGGGAGGCGGAGGGAGTCGTGGGCACAGGCAGTGGGGCAGTGGGGCACTGGCGGGGTGGGACCAAGGGTGGGACCAGCGCAATTCGAGCAGGAAGCACCAGATCAGAGGCCAGCACTGTGCAGGGGCAGGGGGCAGGGTGGATGCCTGCAACTTCCCCCTAGCCCACCCTCCAGCAGAGCGGTCAACTCTAGCTCAGTGAGCCCAGGCTCAGGCCTCCTCCCTGGACCTCTGACAGCAGCACAGGCACCTGGGGGCCTGGTTCCCTAGCCCGAACCAAGACGCCCGAGAAGCTCCCAGCCAATAGTGCAGCCCAGTTCTCAGGCCCTTCCCTGCCCTGAGGTACCCACCCTAGGCTCCACCCAGGGACCTATGAGCCCTGGGCTGAGCACAGAATCCCCAATCCACACTGGTGGGAAGGTGGGCCTGGGAGGGAAATTGGTGGCAGGAACCTGAGGTTACAGAGGGGCTCCTGCAATGATGACCAAACACCCTGGCTGCTCCCCAACAGAGGAGGAGCCCCAGTCAAGACCCAAACCAGCTTAGGCTGGGCCTGAGGTTCAGAGGATGAGGCAGCGAGGGGCCTTCTCCTCCTGGGCTGAGCTGGGCCTGACACTCTCATGGGTCCCTCCCAGGCCAGCATCTTGGTACTGGGGCTGGGGCCGCCCCTGCCGCAGTCGTCTTCGCTGTGCCCCCCGCCCACCTGCTGGCTTCTTCTCAGCTGCCTCCATCTCGGACAGGCTGTAGGCCATGGCGAGCTGCAGGTCCTCATCCTCCTCAAAGAAGTCACTTTCAGTGGGGCGTGAGAAGGGCGTCTGAGGGACCTGCAGGCCCCCAGACGTGACAGGGACCGACGGTTGCTGCTCGCGACGGCTCAGCTCCAAGCCCAGTGCCAGGTCGTCTGGGACACCTGCAGAAGGCATGGTCCCCGTGAGGCTCCTAGCCCGGGCTGCCCCACACAGGAGCAATCGGGGCCCCCCGCCCCTGGCTTTTCAGAGTAGTGGGTAGAGCCTTGGGCATGTTCAGCTGCACCCATACAAGCTGTGTTTCCTTGGGCAAGCTCAAATCCCCCCTCTGCTCGGCTTCAAATTGCTGTTCAAAACCAGAACCCAAACTGTGGCTGTTGGCTTGAGGCCGACTCCTGGTGGCCCACTGTTCCAGGGCAGACCGGCTCTGAGGGACTCCTTGTTGTTTGGGGGCCATTTTCATAGCAGTCCCTATGCAGCACCAACTACTAGCCACAAGGTTGGGAGTAAAAAGCCACTCAGAGGTACCTCAGAAGACCAGGCTGGTGATCTACTTTCCACAGCCGGAAAGCCACACGGTTCTGCTCTGTACACGACTGTGAGGCCAAACTGGCAACCACAACCACCATCTTTATAGAAGCAAATCCTCAGGCCTTTCTTGTGGGCCCCTGCAGGGTGGGTGTGAACTGCCACCATGGTGGTGTTTGGTGACGGAGAACGTGGCCCCACGTTCAACAGAGGAACCACCACCCAGCCCTGCGCGTCCTTGGGATCATTCTGTTCGAGCCCATTGTGGCAGCCCCGGTGGCGTCTTCCTCTTTCTCACCGACTTTCTACTTTACCCAACATGAAGTCCCTGGTCCAGGGACTGGTCCCTCCTCAATAACATGCCCACAGTATCTGCAATGAAGTCTCTCTCCATCCTCACTCCTAATGAGCATTCTGGCTGAATTTCCTCCGAGATGGATTTGTTCACTCTTCCTTATTCACTGTCCAGCTTCCACATGCGTATGAATGAGGTCATGGAAAATACCGTGGCTTGGGTCCGGCACCTTAGTCATCGGAGTAACATCTTTGCTCTTTTAACACTTTAAGGATGTCTTGCACCATAGATGTGTCCAATGCAACACATGGTTTGGTTGCTTGACTGCTCTGTCCATGAGTATCGACTATAGACCCAAGTAAACTGAAATCTTCCATCTTTTCTGTTAATCGTGGTTATTTTTAAACTTACCTTTAGGTTCATTTTTAAATAAAACCAAATCCATTGCCATCGAGTCAGTTCCAATTTGTAGGGACCCTACTGAGATTTTCAGGGATTGTAACTCTATGGGATCAGGGAGACTCATCTATCTACAGTGGAGTGGTGGGTGAGGCTGAACCACCGACCTTGTGGTTAGAGCTCAACACCTAACCCACAAGGCCATCAAATCATTACAAGGATTGGGTAAGATAAGCCATGCAGAAGTATTCCATACCCATTGCTCTCAGAGCCTGCAGGCAGGAAAGGTTATCAGTGACAGTGACCTGCAGAGTTTACCTCTCAGAGTCATCTGTCCTCCTGAGTTTGATTCCTGGCCTTATCAAATCTGAGGAGCCCTGGGGGCATAGTGGGTTATGTGTTGGGCTGCTAAACACAAGGCCAGTGGTCCAAAACCACCAGCTGCTCCACAGGACAAAGATGAGACTTTCCATTCCCATAAAGTGATAGCTTCGGAACCCCCCCAGAGGCAGTTCTCTGTCCTATAAGGGTCCTATGATTCTGAAGCAACTCAATGGCAGTGAGTTTTGTTTACGAGGAAAGGGCCTTGGCCTCCAGCTACTTGGTAGTTGCAGAAAGCCAGCAGCATGGAGTCTATTCAGCGTCATAATGACCCTACAGGACAGGGGAGAACTGCTCCATGCTACTTCAATGGCCTTACCTGTGTGCAAAGGTGGACCGTGAACAAGGAAGACTGAAGTGCTATGTTTGAATTCTGACATTCGCAACCAATACTGAATATCCCATGGGTCCCATAGCCGGCCAGAAGAATGAACAAACATGTTTTGGAAGAAGTACAGCCAGAATGCTCCTTAGAAGTGAGACCGGTGAGCCTTTGTCCCACATACTTTGGACATGTTATCAGGAGGGACCAGTCCTTAAAGAAAGTCACCATACTTGGTAAAGTAGGGGCCAGTGAAAAAGAGGAAGCCCCTCAGTAAGATGGATTGACACAGCGAGTGCAATAATGGATTCGAACAGCAATATTCATGAGGATGGCGCAGGACTTTGCAGAGTTTCATCCTGCTGTGCACAGCATCCTGATGAGTTGGAACCAACTTGATGGCTTGAACAATAACAGAACTGCCCTACAGGGTTTGCAAGTCTGTGGTGCACTGGTCTAAGTATTGGGCTGCTAACCCAAAGATATCAGTTCAAACCTACCAGGTGCTCTGCAAGAAAAAGCGAGCCTTCCATAAAGGGGTGCAGCCTTGAAATCCCTGTGAAGCAGTTCTGCTCTGCCCCATAGAGGCACGGTGAGTCGGAATTGACTCGGCAGCAGTAACTTAAAAAGCGTATGTACGGAAACAGACTTCCACAAAGAGTGGCTGGTGGACTCAAACTGTCCACCTTTACGTTAGCAGCCAAGTGCTCAGGCACTGTACCACCAGCCCTCCATATCTGGGAATTAGGGACCCTTAATCTTGCTGAAGATCAGTCTCCTCAATTGAAAAATGGGGCCCCAAACCACCTACTCTCACTCCCTGGGGATGTGTTAAGAATAAAGTGGAATCTATACATGTGCCCCACAGCCAATGAGTTCATTAATCCCACTCAGAGCGACCGGCAGGGCAGAGTGGAACTGCTCTTCGGGGGTTCCAAGGCTATAAATCTTTATGAGAGCAGACAGCCTCATCTTTCTCCCTTGGAGCATCTGGTGGGTTTGGACCACTGACCTATGATCACTCACCTGACAGTGCCATCAGGGCTCCTTACATGGGCTAGTGCTTTAAAAATAGTAAAAGGTTTTGTAGAGGTCAGCACCCCACTGATTATGATGGTGATGGTGGTAAGTAGCTGCCTTCCAAGAGACACCGCACTTCCCCATCTTTACCCACTGGCCCCAGATCACCATCTTGAAACGTGCCCAGTCCTGTGGACACCATCCTCCTCCTTGCCCCAGTGCGGTTCAGAGAGGAGTATTGTGGGGAAGAGGCTTTGGTTTCTGGGATCGGGGCCTCCTGCCAGGGACCGGGTCCAAGCAGGTCAGCTCCTCACCATTGACTGTGATGGATTTTAGCTGCCCATCTTCCTCCACTTCCACGCGCTCCTGCCCGTTCTCCATGATCCTGTGGGAGACAGCAACAGTTCCTTCACTGAACCCTGCAAGCTCTGGACAGGGCAGGCTGGGCCCTTCCGTCAGCCCCAGAACCCTCCCCCGTGCACTGTCCAGCAAGATCTTGCACCTGCGAGTGGTGATGCGCCGTCCTTGGACAAAGGTGGTGGATGTGGAGACAGAGCGGAAGGCACCAGCACCGGGACTGAAGGAGAAAGACGAGGAGGACAAATCTGGTGTTGGGACAGAGGAGGAGCAGGGAGGGGTTGTTAGACCAAGTTGTGTGCCCTGGGCTGCCATCACAAAGGGACAAGGCTCTGGGGAGGTGACATACACAGGAGAGAGGGCTTGGGAAAGGAACCAGCTGTGGAGGTCAGGGGCTCTAGGGCTGGGAACCTGTCCCAAGTGGGGAGAGGCAGCACTTACCTGAGTGCCCAGGAAATGAGGTGAAGGTAAACAAGGGGCCGGTGTGTCGGGAGCCCGAGAAGGGGCCCAGGTCATCTATAACAAACAAACAGAGGTTATAGACTCTAGTTTCCCTTACAAGGTGTCACGTCAGCTTTTAAATCCAGCAATGCATGCTGCTAAGCAAGTGGGACAAGTGAGGCACCCTGGTGGTATAGCAACCTACGTGTGGGGCTAACTGCAAGGCCTGCAGTTCGAAGCTACTCGCTGTTCCGAGGGAGAAAGATGAGGCTTTCTACTCGCTTTTAAAATTTTATTGATTTATTTTTATCTACTCCCTTAAAGAGTCAGTTTCAGAAACCCACAAGTGTAGTCCTACTGTCCTGTAAGGTCAGCATGAGTCAGAACTGATTCGATTCGATGGTAGAGGGTTTGGGGTTTTGGGGAAGCATCTGGGTATTATTTCTCATTTTTCTTGCATGGGTTTATTTACATTTCTGTAAAAAACAAAACCACTTTTTCTTGTGAATTGGTGAGGGTCTACAGAGCAGATCCTATTTTTACATTCACCAATTCAGTGTTCTGATCCCACTCAACCACTGCCACCCCCTCAACGGTACCATCGCCTAGCCCACTTCCTCCCTGTGTTTCTGGCCCATCCCTCCCCTTTTCATGAGCCCCTGAGTAAATTCCTTTGGAAGATTAGGAAAATCTAGATTAAGAGTAGACTGAAAACTACCAAGAGAGGGAGAGAGGCAGGGAGAGGAGCAAGCTCCTTCCAAGAGACAGGTAAGCAGGATGTGGTGGTGTTGGGTAGACACAGCATGGAGTTCCAGCCCTGCCCTGTGCTGTGTGACTCTAAGCTGGTTACTTGACTGCGCCTCCGTTTTCATCTGGAAATGGGGACAGTATGACCTGCCTCCCAGAGTTAATTAGAGGAGACCAAAATGCTTGCCACACATTCATCATTTCCCAAATGGGCATCTGTGCTTGCGTGCGGTTGTGATTACTGTCATGTGATGCTTTGAGTCTGGCTTTCTGGCTGCCACTGTATCACTGTGGTTACCGATGAATAGGCGGGTCTCTGAAGTGTCACTTACAGAGTCACATGGGTCCCAGCATGTGTAAGGTTCTGCCTACAGTCTTTCTGCCTGAAGAAATCAGTTCCTCTCTCAACCTCAGGGACTAAGGGTTGTGACGGGGTGGGGTGGGAGGCGGCCACTAGAGGAGGGTAGCATGCTTGGGGATTAACACGAGAGCCACCATGGTGGACACTGAGAACCTGCCAACCAGCAGGAAGGTGGGGCAAGACCAGTATTTTGTTGAAACACAGGAGGCGACCAGGCTAAGAGCCGCCTAAATGGCAGCTAGCAGTTCAGCCTCCTAAGGGCGTCCTAAGTCCACTCACCAAAGAACGAAAAAGGGTCTCCGCTCCCAAAGAACTCCCGGAAGACCTCCTCAGGGCTGCGGAAGGTGAAGCCAGGTCCACTGCTCCCCGTTTCCGGCCGAGATGGACCAGCTCCTTGAAGGAAAGGCACAGTGGGAGGGGTGTCCTGCCCTCTGCCAGGGGACCCCACCCATGGCAAGGGCAGGAGCCTCAGAAAGCAGCCTTTGCAAGTATCTCTTGCCCCCACTACCCCACCCGGGCCCCAACATTCCAACCTACCTGGCCCCATCAGCCCTTCTCGGCCGTAGCGGTCATAGAGTTCCCGCTTGTGCGCTGCAAAGAGACAGCAGGTTCTTGCTCCATCTGGGCTGCAGTTCGAGCCAGGCCCCTGCCTTCCCTCCCAGGCCAGGCCCCTCAGAGACTGCCCAGAGACTGAGGCTGGGAGGCAGCAGAGTGCTCAGGGGACATGGGCTCTAGATTTTGGCAGCAGCTCAGCCTTTTCTAAGGAGCCCAGGTGGCACAGTCATGAAGCACGTGGCTGCTGACAGAAAGGTGAGCAGTTTGAACCGATAAACTGCTCTGCCGGAGACTGATGTGGCAGCCGGCTTCTGTCAAGAGGTACAGTCTTGGAAGCCCTGTGGGG